AAATGAGGAGTGGGAAAGACTGAAAATACACTCTACGCACTTAGATATAATAAGACTGAGACCAGATTGGTCAGAAAACCGGTGGATGTGAGATAGGTCTTCAGTAAAAGAATGAAAGTCTGAGGGAAATGAAATTGTCTGAGACAAAACGACGTCATCAGCATACTGTTGGATGTGCGCAGGAGGTGGGACAGAAAGATCATTAATAAAGGCAGAAAAAAGATATGGAGATAGAATAGCACCTTGAAGAACACCAGACTTATTAACAAGAGGTTTTGATGCCTTCCTTCCCAATTTGGTGCACTGGACCCTCTGTGTGAAATAGTCGGCAAGCCATGAGAGCAGCTGTTTTGGAGTGCCAAAAGATTCAAGTTTGAAAAGAAGAGATGATCGGGAAACAGAATCAAACGCAGACGAATAGTCAAGAAAAACAGAACAGACGGACTTGACCGAATGGTTCAATGACTTGCTGATGAAATGCACTAGAGTGGATATGGCATCAAATGTAGATTTGTTTGGTTTATATACAGACTGAAGGGGGTCATGGGGAATTGTGGTGTCTGACTGCAACCGACTCAGGATGGCTTTTTCAGTTACCTTTAGAGCCGTTGAGGTCAACGCTATAGGACGAAACCGTTTCGCAAGAACAGTTGAGGACGTGGATTTGGGGATCGGAATAATGGTCACTGGACGCCAAGAATGAGGAATCGACCGGGAAGATAGGGACTCATTGACAATGAATGTCATCATATTGGTTAGGGAAGCTGCTCCAAATTTCAGAAGTGCCGGAGAAAGACCATCAGGGTCTGCAGCTGAGGATGCTTTGCAGGATCGAAGAAGCTTAGAGATTACATCATTGGAAAAAGGCACTGAAGTGGATTCATTGCATAGGAATGAGGGAATCTGGCTCTCGTTTGATGGGTGGATGAAAGCGGCGTTGAGGCTGTTGGCATCCACAGAGGTATTAGATGCCCTATCATTTTGAAAGAACCCGATATCAGAACGTTGGGGTAGTTCGACGCTCTCCCCTTTCCATGTTAAACGGGTCCCTCTCTCTCCGTATATCTGTAGGCTTTTATAATGATATGCGATGTGTGATTGATTTTTTAAATCCAGCCAAGCAATAAATCCTTTTTTCTTCCAGTGATCATCTGGTTTAACAAGGGAACTACCTGAAAGAAACAATGCCGTTTGTCTATCCATTTTCAGCTCATAAAATTGAGTTAGAAAAGGATTATTGACCAACATCACCGAACACGCCCAACGTGGTTTCCCCACCACCATCATCATCTTTCGTACATAGAGTGCAAAGAATAAAGACGGAGGATGAAAAAGCATAGTTGATGTCATGTCAGACATGAATCCCACCATTCGGTTCATCCAAATTCTCTTTTCTAGTAAATGATGTAAAGATTTTTCAACTAATTTGTCAAAGCCACCTGTTTAACCCTCATACTGAGAGCTGTTTTTCTAGCAGTGAGTTGAGAGCAATGCATATCTGTTCATCTTTGAAAAATATCATCCCCAGCGAAACGTTAAGCGTTCTTTGTAACGTTTGTTTCGAAACACCCTTTGTGTAGTTGAGGCAAATTAGGAACCGGTCTTTGCACCGACAGGGTGAATTGGCAGCGAGTTACGAAGTTGAACAAAATAAAGTACGAACAGCGAATTTATTCACATTTTTTCAGTGGATATGATTCCTATGGCATAGATGGTATTTTACCCTTCGTTGTTGGAAAATATATCAGCAGTGAAAATAATAGCACTAAACCGAATTCAGATGGCAATTGCTGGATGAAAGTGGAAGAGGTCGCTGTTCAATCAGTCTGACCGAAATAGAATGCGGAGCAAGTTGTTGCATCCTTGATTGATTTGACGACCATTCAGCCATTTCAACGCGTACCATGTTTCGGTCAACTGAACGATGCACCCACCCTGGCAAACGCAATGAGAAGCCGGTTAAGGTAGCGCTAATTTAATTATAATTGCCAATGCGAATAGCATCAATGGGGGCCGGAGGCTGCGCAATCATAAGGATGGTTTGCCTGGGTTAGAACGGCGCATGAGCATTCTAGTGGTTTCGGTCTGGGTTACCCCACCATTTGCCACACACCACAACCAACAACGGCAAGGTGGTCGGGGCTTTGTTCCCTCGGCAAAACCCGGCCGTGGAGTTGAAGCTGTTTAGCCAATAGTGGCAGTCAATCGATCGGTTGTTCATCGATCGATCGATCAGTCGATCGATCACGGCATCGACGTCTTCGCGTCCCACGTCAAGGGTAGAAGTCGAAACGCATTCGTCCGACCGTGTTTCTCTCTCTCACTCACCATTGAGGGGTGGGGACGGCGTTGATGCTAGGCTGCATGTTACACACTAACACTGGTCTGATGAGCCAATCGAAAAATAGACAGATAGACAGTTTGAGAGACAGACACACACCCATTCATTGTTTTTGTTGGCGCATTCTGTCTATCCAAGCGGAATGGTTATACAGGCACAATAGTTGACGTGCGTACGTACTCGCACAAACGCACAATGCACATGAATTCTATGTGAACAGACCTCACAACGAACAACGCGCCGCACTGAAGAACTGCAGTGATTGTGTGTGTGTATGGGCACTGGTGTGTGTTTGCGTTCGTGCGCGTTTGATGTGTTTGTTCGTATTCATGTTCACTTGCCTACGTGCGCACAACGGACAGAGTAGCTCCGTCCTCGGTCCAGTAACACCGCTGGCCAACCGTCCCGCAACGGTTGCCCCAAATAGACAATAAGACAAAATAACTCTNGCAATCATCGATTTTCTCAGTGTGGCCTCTAACTAAAGAGGCACAAGATGCGTCAGCGTGGGCCCACAGCCACAGCTTTGTCTCCTGGATTATATCTCGACGGTCATTCAAATCGTGTTCCGTGTACTGATAATTCCGTTTCGTTGACGCCACCTGTGGATGTTTACGCAACCACCATTCCATCTAAACTCGCTGCCATTTCTCCAGTGCTTTCACGTATCCAATCCCCACATCCGCTATTACTCGATCATCACATGACATCCGATTTAAAGAAACAGAAACCAGAACTCTCGGCGCGCACCGGTGCTGTACAGCTACATTCGAAATTGCATCGAAAACATCATAAAAACAGACGTATTGGATTGCATCAGAATAACGGGGATGTGGGTCGAAGTTTGCACTCATTGAAAGTAACTATTCGTCGGACCAGTCAGTCACACAAAATCGATTCCACACAAGTCAAACCGGGCACTCTCGGTGGAGGACTTGTAAACGCAACGGTGGCAAATTCTTCACCAAAACCTACCGCTCACCAAGATTCATCCTGTCCACCCGGATCTAATGTGTCATGTGATGTTCCGACGCGTAACATGGATAATATTCTTCCCGGACGGACGGTCGCAGGCATAACACAACCGTATTCTAGTCCACGTACATCCGGTGTTTCCACGGTAGGTTTGTGATGTGAATGGACGACAATCAACTAAGCTCTTCGGAAGTAGTGCTTAGTTGCTTCATTTTCTGTGGCTCTATGTTTTGTGAACGTTGCTTGTTTTCCCTCCCGTCGATCACGGCACGTTCATCGGATTACGGACTTTCGCACGAAAGTTCAGGAATTATCTGTTTGAAGACTACATTGCATTTGGATTCGTGTGCCTAATCCCGCTGGAATTTTCTGTGATGCGTTTTGCTCCTTGTTTTGCTCACAAATGGCTCTAAAACCTACTCTCAGTTGATTAGTTCCAGTGCAGGCAATTCGAGATTAATCCTTCCGTTTTTGTAGCCTGAAGCTGCTCATCTGTGTTGGAAACATTGCGGAAACTGTAGGTTAGCAAGCCCGAGGCCAATTAACGGGGCTATACGCTACAGGGCACGTCTCCAAGTTGCGGATAGAAGAACAAAGGCTTCGGAGGTGAACCATGTGTATGAAAGGGGTGGGCTTTTGTTGCCGATCAGCGGCAACTTCTCCGGAACCAAAAGCACAATCATGTGCATCGTGACTCCCTCAAATCTCGCTCACCACTTAATAAGACTATTCTTTTCCTAGATCTACGGATAGCATTCGACCCCGCAGAGGCTGAATGTGTGAAAAAAAGTTGTTCTAGGGCTTCAATTCGCACCAGAATTTCTTCATAAAAGCATGATTTGGGCCGAATGCGTTGATCGTTAACATTAATTCACACTATCAATCGATGTTGGTAGTCGAAAATCAGCGGATGACAGCGTAAAACTTACGGTTTAACAGAGCGGAAGATCTTCGAGGCATTGAAAACCCGTCTTGCCAAAATGTAGCGTATCAATCTCTACTGTGACCGGCACATGCAAATAGAAATTCGCGCTAAATTAACTACCAATTTGCGTGAGAACTCTGGGTGTGCTGGTACATGTGACCGCTAGTTAACTCACTGCTTCTCTGATTGATAAATTGAGTTAGTATGGATTCAACAATTGAGTCCGCCACGTATTTTCGTGGTTAAGTTACGTTCTCTGATTTAGATAGAGGTCGACCTGTTAAGCCTGTAGTAATAATACTTCGGCTTTGTGAAAAAAGAGCCTTATTTACTCGTAGGTATATTCAACTCGACTTCCAAAACCCGAGGTTATTTATAATTTTTTCCCAGACATTAGCGGGTTGAATAGCATTCGAGTGACTAACCTCAAGATGTATCCCACACTCAAAAGTCCTCTGTTGGCTTCTCGCGGTCCGATACGTGCGGGGTAAAACTATTGAAACAACACTAATGTCCAGTGTTGCTCCAGTGTTGTCTCATTTTCAAAGCTGCGTGTTATTTACTGAACACGCCCCACTCAGGGAGGAACGCTTGCAGCTGTCGTATTCACAACCAGCTATTAGACAATTCATGGGTCATCACACAATGTTGTTCTTTTCGGAATAATATTGGTTATGTCGTTGAAAGGAACTTTATTTCCCGGGCTGCAGAAGTCGCAATTTNTCGCAATTTGCTACCAATTACGTTGAATCGCTTAGAGAAAAGGCATGGCACCATCCTTTTCCCAGCCCATCGTAAGCTCTATATATACTGGCCAGTAGGTAGTGAAGAAGCATCCTCGTTTTCTTCGTTCTTAAATTGTCCTATAGTGGATCACAGTGAAATATCCTGTATTTCGCGATAGATTATGATGAATTTAGTAGTTCAGTCGAACTTCTGATGGGTTGTTCTTACCCTCCGCATCATAGCGCTCTCTCTATGCGTCCGATCATCACGTGGGTTTTGTAATTATAACGATGACTCGGCTGATTCTAATATTACAGTTTCCAGGTAGAAATAAGCCCCCACGCAGAAATCTACACCAAGAGATTCTAATCGTGCATTGTTTGTATATCTCAANNCGCCTACTCAAACGGGTTTTGCTAAATCCTGTTCGAAAGTGTGAAACCTGTAACTGACTGTGCATTGTCGGATCCATAAAATTCGTATCCGTCGAAAAGTCATCATCAGTGTACAGTCACTGATCGCTGCCAAGCTCACAAAGTAAGTGGGAATATATAAGGTGTTTGGAAGGAGGCAAAGGAAATGAACCTCTATGGTCAACAGAGTGCACACACTTCAAAGCTTGGGCAGCAAGAACGTCACTGCTGTCCGGTCGCTGCCATATCCATCAGTCTCTTCAGTAAGCCAGTCTTTTGAACCTCAACCTGGAGTACCGTAGACACCTACTCCACCGTAGCACTTTTTGCATTTCTTCATGGCTCGTTTCCACGTTATTTCATCACCACATGATCTCCGCAAACCTGGGGAAGTAACTGCAAACAAAGCACCGTGCAGTAGACGACACCTGGGCATGTGCAATACGCGGCCTAACCAGCAGAGTCTGTTAATCCGAATTCACTGTGGTGGGGAATTCTCTATCGAATCTTTACCAAATACTCGACGGATTACTTGTGTTGCTTATACGCTCAACCCGCGCCAAACATCGACGGTCGAAGACTTCTAGACGATGGAAGTTTTCCACACGCAGAACTAACCGCACGGCGGCACAGTATTCACTGCCGTTCAGTTTCAGTGAATTAACCCTTCAAAGCCAAAGGTGTTTTAGTCTTCTGTTGGTGCCCTAAAAATGAGGGTAGTCGTATCGTTTATTATACCACCTACATTCGTCATCTAACTTCCTTAGAAGGAGAAGTGATCCGCCGCAACTAACTATTGACCATTAAGTACTAAAGCCCCGGGTTCTCGCGATAGACGTATCGGTATTGTAGATGTAACATGGACATGTGAACTTTCGTCCTTCGTGGGTACAGGTTCTTCCATAAATGAGGCTTTTATGAAAACGGACTAGGCTCATTTTCGGTCTTGCGTCATTTCTCATACACTAAGATTTCACAGTCAACGAAAGATCTTCACCTCTCAACACAGGTTGAATGCAGATCAAAGTTGGATTAACCTTTTTAGTGCGTCTGGTTTTTATTTTTCCCCTCTGCTTCTCGTGTTCTTCAAGGTAATAAACTGTTGAAAGATCCACAAAAACCTGCCACGCAAATGAAGTGAATGGAAGACGTAAATGACCGCGTAGGAGCTTTTAGCTTATAAATCGCTTTATTTCAACACACCACAGGAACCACGATATGGTTCACAATCTAATTAGCTTGCTATAGTAAATGTGTATTTCCTACCTGGTCCCCTCCATTAGTCGCTCTCGTATTGCGCTAAGATCGCCCCGATGGTTTTGTAATGTTTCTGCCTTTCTCCAATCAAATTTTAGTTTTATCTTCATGGTGTAGTAGAGCATCCGATTTTATTTCAATATCTTGTCGATTTTTGTTTGGGGAGCGTAGCACCCTAAATGTCATCAATTGGTGCCCTTTGTCTGACTGTCAGTTCGTTTGGCGGTTGGAAGGCTGACGGATTCTATCTAGGCTCATCAAATCAAATCAGGTCACAAGACTGTATCATACCTTATCGATTTTACTCATTTTGATTGATCATCTAACCCAGTTAATTGCACACTAAGTTCTTGTTCATAGACGGATGCTATCGTCCAAATGACCCGCCTAATTTGTAACTACCAGAGATGAGCGCAGTTTCGAACTGGTTGACAAATGTCGAAATAGGGTCATGATGGTGTTGTTTTTATCATTAATGATCAGTGCAATTGCTTTCACTGGCAATGGACCGTACGAGTTTTTCGGCTAATAGCCTGGAGTGTGATTGCGCTCGTGATGAACTAGTATCAGTGGGTCACGATCGATTTTCCAGTGGCTTATTGGTTTAGTCAAACTCGTGGGCATGTGGCTGCAATTTTCCAACTATTCGGCCATTTGCATCAATGACAGAACCTGTGTGACAATTCTGAAATTCGCTTGTGCTTAGCAATTTTTCTAAATGTGTTGTACTTTCGTTTGCGTGTGATTCACAGCCGATACACACTGGTGGACGGACAAGCGACAAAGTGGATGCCTCCACTTCAACCGTGGACCGTAGCACTTTGACCGATCCTGACGTCTTGGGACCATGTGAACCGGGCACCAAAGTTGTTGTCCAGGGGGTTGTGTGGTTGGAAACTGCAGGTAACGTTTTTCTCATCTAAAATCATCTACATTTTGACGCATTTTCGCATTTTTTCTTGTTTCTAAATTAACCTGTAATCATCTAACCTACTTTGATTCGCTGGCTACTCGATCGATGCGTCGCCACCGATCAATAGCATAAGCTGACATTGTTTATGATCACTCTGTGCCATTTTTAGACCAGTTCTGCCCTGTTTACGAATTCGTGTTATGTGCCTGATTGTGAGTGATTCGTGTGCACTGGCTTCAGATTTGTATGCGGGTTAAATCCTGTGACTTGAATTGTGATGTCAATTAATGATACCATGTGACACGATCACGCGTAGAACTGGTGTATAATGTTTGCCGATCTTCATTGAAATATCTCTGTGCCGTTGCCATCCTGATTGTGATTTCGAATCACCATCTTGTTTGGAAATCAGTTTTATCTGTGGCTTTTTTCCATAGTTGGTGTACAGTATTGAATTTGGTCTCCATGTCTTTTTTGTCACACGAACATCCGTGTCGGTCGGTGCAGTGATCAGCACACACGTGCACTCCTCGGCACAATCATTCCGTCTTGGTGCGAACCGCCCCCCCCCTTGCCACACTCCTTGTCCAGTGTGAAGGACCTTTCACCCTAGCCCTGAGGCTATTTTGTTTATGTATTATTCTAATTCTTGCCACTCGGTTCAGAATTTGTTGTTTTGACGAGCACGTACTTTCCGTGATCTCCGCAACTTCTCTTCCTTGGCATTGCTTGATTGATGTAACCCTAGTTGCGACTGATCGTACAAAGTGATAAGCAACATTCGACACGTTTGTTTGGCATAGGAGGGGTGCAATCGTTTACACATCAACACTGATCACTCGAGTTAATCTCGCTTAGACGTAGCTCGAACTGATTTGAAGAAATCTGGTTGTTGATGGCCAGCTGTGCGAAGTTTGTGGTTC